AAATGTGATATTTCAAAAATGATTATCACAAATTTCAACCAATAAAATCGCTCGAAAGTTAAATGTCCATTATGCTTTATACAAGTACAACCCATTTTATATTTATTTTCTTTAATATTTATTCTTTTTTAAATAATAGATAAAGTAAAAAATATTTTTCGTTAAAGTTGAGCGTGAGAATTTTTTTTAAAAAAAAACTTTAAAATAGTAATAATGCAAGATAACATTATATATATATGTACTAGCTTAATAAATAATAGTTAATTTTTATAAAAGTAATATAATAAAATTAAAATAAACTACAATGATAATATGATGTCATGTATATATATAAATATATTAGTTTAATAATTTTTTTTTATTTTTTTTTTCGCATATTTTAAATCTTTTTAATAATTATACAAATAAATATGAACAAAAATCAATATTTAAATAAATATAAATGTTCAAATTGTTCAAAATGGTTTTCAGAAAGAAGATATCTTACAAATCATATTAAAACACATGAACCAAACGAGTATATTGAGGCATTTTATTTGCATAAACAATCAAATAAAAATTCAGAACTAACTCTAGCGAATAATTCTCAATCAATTTTAATAGAGTTAGATGAGTTGTATCAACACAAAGCATTTCTACCTAAACATGAAGAAAAGCAAGAACTATGGAATAAAGAAATAGAAATATTAAATAATAATAATATATCTTTTTTATCTAATTATATAATTCAAGATTATAAAGATGATATAAATCCTTATCAAGAATTGGTAAATTCAAGTTCGCAATTAACGGAAAAATTGCCTAATGATGAAATATGTGAATTTGCATCATTAATTACAAAATATAATATATCAGATACACTTCGTGATCAATTTTTATCATTTTTTCGAAAGTATTCACATCGTTCAGATGATCCTTTACCCAAATCAACAAAAATTCTTAAAAATTTTCTTGATAATATGAAAGTGAATAATTTATCATTTAAATCAGAAGTTATATATAATGATGGAAAGAAATATTATATTCTTTATTATAGACCAATTATGGAAGGCATCAGAAAATTACTTTCTAATCCAAATTTAGTATATAATGAATTTTATGTGGATTTTAAAATTTATAATGTAAGTTTTCTTTAATTATGTTGTGATTAAGATTAATAATAAAATATTAACTATATTTTTTTTAGAATACTAAAGGCTAATGATATTATTCTGAATTATATAATAGTATTTGGTGGGAAAAATGTGAAAAAACTATTTCTATGGGAGCAAAAATATTAGGAATAATTATATATTCAGATTCAACAAATTGTGATCAACTTGGTAGAAAAAGTGAACATCTGTTAAGCATAACTTTTGGAAATATTCCTGGATGGCGTAGACAAAAGTTAGATGCTCGTACAATAATTGCTTATTTACCAAAAATAATATCTCCTTCACATAATTATGATAATACATTTCATATGAAAAAATTGCAAATGTTTTACAATTGCTTACATAAGATATTTGAACCAATTATTAGTATGCAGCAAAAACAAAAAGAATTTGAGGCAATTATTAATAAAAATATATATTGGTTTATTCCATTTGTGACGATGTGTTTAGTTGATTGGCTAGAAGCATATACATATTGTATGACTTATAATAGTTATAATTGCCAGCGTCCTTGTCATTTTTGTTTAGTAAAACAAGAAAATCTTAATAATATAAAATTATATAATAATCAAATAATATTACGCATACATACAACTATGCAACAAGCAGTTATTGATCAACTTAACCAAGAAAAATCTATTCATTTATTAAATAATTTTTTTTGGGAATGTCGGTAAGAAACTTTATTTTTTAAATTTTTAAATTTTGTTTTTAATTAATATATATATTCTATTATTAGTCAACTTAATATTTATACAGCATGTGTTCCTGATCGTTTGCATATTGCGGATCTTGGCCTTTTTAAATATTTGATAGAATTTACTTATACAATGTTTATGGAAGATCTTGGAAATACTGCAATTCAACAAATTGATGAAAGATTAGCAGTAATACCTCATTTTCAAAAACTTACACAATTTCCTGAAGGACTTAAAACTCTAAAACTTTATACAGCAGATCATTATAGGACTTTAATGAAATTAATGGTTTTTGTTTTAGATGCTTTGCATGCTAAAAAAATGACCAATTAATTGATTTATATGTTCAATGGAATCAAATGTATATATTTTCTCGAAAAGATAATTTTACAAATGCAGATCTAAAATATTTTGAGGTAAATACAATTGTAATTTAAAATCTTAATATTATAATTATAGTACTTAATATTTAATTTTATTTATTTATAGGAAATAATTGAAACTTGGTCTTCTAAATTTGTGTTTTACTTGGAAGTTATTCAAAATCAAATTTATCAATACCAAAATTACATACTTAGCGATATCATCTGATAGATTCTATAAAAGTATATGGAAATTTAAATGGTATGACAACAGAAACATTTGAAATGAGTCATAAGTTCTTTGTTAAAGATTCTTATCGAAAAACTAATAAGCGTAATGTTATTCTACAAATTTGGAATCAGGTAAGTTAATTTAAAAATAATAGATTTATAATTTAATTTATAATATTCAAATTAATTACAATTTAGATTTGACGTCGAACTATTATGGATATATGCAAACATATTTAGTTTACTGTTATTAAACCATTACAATCAGATATCATCAAAAAATTTACCTTTTCTAAAATTCAATGGAAATTTTTCTTAAAAATAAAAGATGAATTTTTAATAATCTTGGATGTGAAAAATTGTGTGAAGAACAATTAGTAGGTATTAAAGAGTTGGATTCTTGTTTAAATTGGTATTTAAGTATAATGAAAGATGTACCACTTAGTTAGGATCATAATATGATTAAAATTGAAACATTTACATATCTTAAACTAACCACTGGTGAATATGTTCATGCTACTAATGATCATTATAATTTACCTTAGTTTAGTAATATTTTTATATATATGAATGAAGTAGAATATAATCAATATTTAACAGATGATAGGTACTGCTATAGGCGGATTCTTTTATTAGTTAAAATTTATTTACCTTTTTTATTGGAACTTTTAGCATTAGCTCTTATTCAATGGTATGATTTTATAAATGTTAATCAACCTTATCTTTATGAATGTCTTTTTCTTAAAATTCTTCAAGAGTTTATATTTATTCCTATTAGATCCATTCAAGAAGTAGTTCATATCATACCATGATTTAATAGTAATAATCAATATCTTGTGAATAAATTTATGTGGTAGAATGGGTAATGATTTATTGAATTTTTAGATTCATTTAAATTTAATAATCATATATGGAATATATTATAAGAAAAAAATATAAGTAAATTTAATCTTATAAAATGGATTTTGGGCTGTTCCATAAAATTTACATAATAATTAATATTTTATAAATCAGTTTTGTCTAACAACTGACTATAAATGTGATAAATATATTGTTCAATGAATAACATATAAATTATCAGTTAATAAACATATATTATGAATATCTACGTTAATTTTAAGTTAAAATTTTAACGGTTACTTTACGATTTTAACTAAAAACAGTCACTAAACTTCTTGAAAAGTTAGTGATGATATATGTATGTATGGTCATATATGTTATGTATACAGTACATCCTTTTGATATCGTATGATACCATACTTGTTTCACAATACCAGAAAAGAAACATTTTTGATCAAAAAAAAATTATAGAAAATAAATTCGTTTCATTTTAATTTAATGTGATCAAAAAAAATAATAAAATACATCATTTCAAATATCGAGATGTATTATCATTTTAATTAATGTGATCAAAAAAAAAATTAATAGGAAAATAAATTCGTTCAATAATATTTTAATTAATTTGTTTATGTTAAAAAAAATAAAATAATAAAATAGATCATTTCAAATGTCTTGATGTATTATAATTTAATTTATGTGATCAAAAAAAAACATAGGAAATAAATTTGTTTTAAATGTCTTT